AGAGTTATGTGCAATATGGACATATGAAAAAGTATGAGGCATGCATATTTTTCTGTGAGGAAATATGAAATATAGTTGAAATATTTATAAAATCACGTTATTAGTACATCCGGATGACAGCACACAGTTAAAGCCATGGTTTGTTTTCTTGGATGTTTATGTATTGGACTTGAATGTTTGCTTGACCAAGATGTGGGGTGTTGCTCTTTATTTCTCCCCCACGTGAAATTTTTAAAATGTTCAACAAATTGTGATAAGTTCGGCCCTCGAACACAAGTTTTTTAACTATTATTGTGTATATTTTGAGGATCATTACTAACTAAAGAGCATAGTCTTTTTCATTATATTTTTTTCTGAACACAACACTTGTAGGTTTCTTTTTTATTCATCGTTAAGCTGGAGCGTCACCAGTCTTCCATTAATCAAGTCTTAATGCTCAGTCAGTTTCATATTTTTGATTGATTCTAAACTGACTGATGAAGAAACATGTTTAGCATTATGAAATATTTATAGTTTTAACAAGTGCCAGTTTAGTGAAGAAAAAAATTAATCAAGGGTATTAAGATAAGTTTAGTTTTGAGAGAGTATGAAGGCTTTGTTGGTAATGAATAAAATGTAACCATTAATTGTCCTAGAAATAGCATGGTAATGTGTATTTCCTGTTAACTGTTATTAAGATTGTTAGCATACTATTAAAATTTGAAAGGTAATGGAAAGTTAATCCATCCTTTATCATATTTAATGATATTAAGCTTTAAAAAAAACAGAGAAACATATTCCATTAAATGAAATGATAATGTTAGCTTTTAAAATGTGTGAATGAGTAGTTTTTACTTTATTTTGTCCTTTGTTTTGCTATATTGAGTGAGTAATATTAGACTTAAAAAATATATTTCTTTGTACTTATTTTAGATCTTACTAAACATTTACAAAATTGATCTGAAACTTTTGCCTTTTAAGACAAATTTATGCAGTTGCAGTAATGGCAAGATTAACAAAGTAACACCATTAGATTGTTGCTTTATAAAACCTAAGGATTACCTTCCAGAACCTGACTGACTTGAGTATTAGCCTTTTGAATTTAACCCATTGATTCCATGCCATGCCCACTGCCATTTTATTTTGTTAAATTTGTTTACATGTACATGACTCCATAAGAACTTAGTCACCAAGAAGCCAACGACTAATCCTACCTATCTCTTGTTTATCCTTTTCCTCGATATTAGGAAAGCTTTTTTTTTTTCTTATTGCTATTAGTATTTTTAACATCATGATGTCAAGTGGTAATTTTAATAGCATTAGAAAAAAATATATAAATAAATGCAAAGAATGGGGGAAATTAGTTAAGGTCACATAGTGCCTACTATTTGACTTCTTGGTATCTGAGCACTTAATGGAGCTATCTGTTTGTAAACAAGATTCAGAAAACAAAATTATAGTGGACAATACATGTGCCTGGTGCCAATGAGTTAAGTCTTCATATTTTTTTTTTACACTGGATTGTGCTTAAAGAAACTAAAATCTATGGAAGCAAAATAACATAACAAAATGCCAATAAAAAAAAGGATATTTGGGTATTTTTTATCTGTATGCTCTTGTGCTCTGAGTTTATTTCTGATCTAATGTACAAAGTATCTCTTGCCTTATTTTCTTTATTTAGATACAGACCTTGGTTTAATCCAGATGGAATTAGGTACAAGAATCTTGCAATATATACTTTGCATGTAAAAAGTATGTCTTGGAAAGAGTTTCAAAATAACTGGATATAAGATATGGCAGCAAGATTTAATAAACTAGTTAGGCTAATGTTAGCGACTGAAAATAAGCTTGCTTATACTCTTATCCATTTGATACCAAGACTGTATCACATATGATAATTGCATATTACATTAGTATCTTGTTAAACAGGATTGTATGTAAAAGTGAAGAATGATGAAATGAGCAATTATATTCCAGAGTATGTGCACTTGTTCAGTTAAGCATGTTTTTTTGTTTTTTTTTTGCAAAATGAAGTACTTACTCTAACAATTATCTTAACTTGTTATGAAAGCTGTATTTGTGATAACATAGAATGGCAGTTTGCAAAGAGCGAGTGACTTTAAGCTAGAAGTAGTTAGGTACTTTGCCAATATGCACATGTTGTGATGGATTAAAAGAACTAAATATATACAATATATACATATATTGACTGTTAATCTGCATGATATGCTAATACATAGAATTTAGAAGTCAAATATTGAATATAACTAGCAATAATATTAACCATTTGACACTGTTACATTCCAGGGTTATTTATTTCTGAAAATAAAATTTAAGTAGAATCCATTTTGTTTGAAAATGTAGTATAGTATAATTTTTTAAACCAAGTTTGTGCATGAACCTTTAAAATATTTGAGGAATGGGCACAAATGCTAATCAGCACTCACAGTGGGTATTTGTTATGCTAGACATGAATGGGATTGTTTTTCTGCCTTTTCTTTATCTTTCATTTGTTTCCCCCTTTTCTCTCTTTCTAAATTTAGAATAAAGTGTCTTATAATATACATTCACAAAAGACTAAGTCCATCGATTGAGGCCTTATATCTAGTGTTCAGTAATATTAGTTAATTTAATAAAGGATATGAAAATTAAGCTAATAAAGTTAATTCTTGTGTGACCATTATTGTTTATGTTCTGTTTAAGTTCGGATGAGAACAGATGCTGAATGAAATGTGAATTGTAAGAGAAGTAGAAGTTAATAGGCACAAATAAATTTTACTAGAATATATTACAAAATAGTCAATCAGCACATGACACAAACTTCTTGGCATTTTAAAGTCCTTCTTTTAGTGTTAGTTCCTAGAAAAATGGGCTTATTTTTTTAATACTGGCATCACTGTAATGTTAGTTGGTGTTCTTGTACAACACATGCATGAAATTCTGAAATGTATTCCTATAGAGTTGTCACCCAGCACATTACCCTGTGAATGTTGAAATATGTGTATATATTGATATTTTAAGTATGGTAGAGAAAAGATTAGGAAGTAACTAGTCTCTTTTCACTTAGTGAAGTGCCACAAGGTTAAAGCAATAACTGCTATTGAGTGTCACTAATTGTATGATAATCAATTTTATACTTTTCTCATAATAGTGCCATAAATGAATATAGAATAAAGTAATAATTATTTGGCTTTTGTCAGTCAAAAAAAAAATTGGACTCAGAAAATCACAAATACCTGATTTTAGGCTATCCTGTACTTCAAAATGTTACTATGAAAAGATAATGGGTGTAGCTAACTCTGATTTTTGTAGTAATATATTTGTTTGATTTTTCGTGTCAATCTTTTACGAAAAGGCTGACTTCTTTGTTCATACCAGATCTTTTTGTTAGCAGAATTTCCACAGATTAATACAATGCCAATATGCATAGCCAAAAGGGTTGGCACTATATCAATATACATTTGCAAAGTTATGTTGTACTTAATTTAAAACCTTAGTAACTGAAATCTGGGATTTTTCAGGTATATATTCAGAAATAGAAGCATAATCTAGCCTTAGCTTAAATTTGAAAATAAGTTGATATTCTGGTATATATACTTATAATTAAATGAATATGAATATAGCTAATCAAGTAACATCTCAATATATTTGAATTTTAGTTGCACAAAATAAAGATGCATGTCTAAAGTAGCTTAATAAACTGCATATATGATTATTGGAATTGTCTAGTAATCAGGTATGACTACATAATACCTATTGATTCAAATGTGTATAACATAATACAGCATCAATTGTCCTCAGATAATTAGAATATATATATGAGATGGTTAATCTGACTTAGAAATTACGTGAGCAATTATTTCATATTTTATGGCGCTATTGAGGTTATGTTGTACAAATTTGTATACTCCTCTACAATGGACTTTATCGAGTATAAACTGCAAAGATACCTGTATGCAGAAATGTAACCATAAGGAATAATTAACTGCACAAATATATAGGAAAGGAAGAATCCAGTGTATCCTATCTGCAATGCATGAACTGATCTATGTATCTAATGTGTGTATATATTAGTGTGGCCTTACCATGTAGGGTTTAAGCTTAATAACTGCATATATGATTATTGGAATTGTCTAGTAATCAGGTATGACTACATAATACCTATTGATTCAATGTGTATAACATAATACAGCATCAATTGTCCTCAGATAATTAGAATATATATATGAGATGGTTAATCTGACTTAGAAATTACGTGAGCAATTATTTCATATTTATGGCGCTATTGAGGTTATGTTGTACAAATTTGTATACTCCTCTACAATGGACTTTATCGAGTATAAACTGCAAAGATACCTGTATGCAGAAATGTAACCATAAGGAATAATTAACTGCACAAATATATAGGAAAGGAAGAATCCAGTGTATCCTATCTGCAATGCATGAACTGATCTATGTATCTAATGTGTGTATATATTAGTGTGGCCTTACCATGTAGGTATGCCATGTTGTTATGATTTGTTGTGGCCCTACTGCTAAATAATAATAATCAAATAGAAAGATATATGATTTCATTGACCCTTTTTATTTATATACATTTCTACAAACGTTTTTGGGAAAAAGTTGAACAAAATATAATACATTGCAATCTTAAGATATCTATGCACAATATAAACTATTTTTCTGTTCCAGACAAAATATAACTGTGTGAATAGCAAATAATACATATTAATAGTTAGAAAGCTAAATAAATGTGTTAGACATCAAAGGTCATATAGCACTATAGAAAAAGTAATGAAAAGGGTTAAGTAGGGGTCAGCTGATTATTAAATGTGCTACACATCAAAAGTCATATAGTAGGATAGTATGGCACTAAGAGGAGCAGACGAGTATGGGTAGAAAGGATCAGTAAATAGGCTAAGGTTGGGATTAACAAGGATAGTTAGATCAAAGTTGTCAAAGGAAGAAGTGTGGGATATACATGTGTAAATATTCACTCTGTTATGGTAATAAAACTAAAATTATAAACACACTTTTAATCTAGTATTTACTACCCATTTACATCATACAATTATTTATAATTTCCAAATATTGACTAACCAATCTTGGAAATTTAATTTTAACAATGAAATTCACTGAAATTCTAACAAAATTCCAAACTAAATGTAAACTCTACAAATGTTCATTCTCAGTGAAGCTGCATGAAAACCATGCACAAAATAATGAGAAACAAAAGATCAAATTTATTAACAAAAATAGTAATGCTTGGTGAGATGTAATGAAAATTGGGCTAAATAAACAATGCATTGGCTGTTTAAGTAATCATTATAAATTATATTCAATTTGTAATCTAAAATAAACAAATCCATACTTAATGCTTCTTCACCAAGTTTGTCCCTTACAATAGAGCAAATAACTCTTATAATGATAACATGGAACTGTGGCATAAAAGAATTCTATCACAGATAAGATGGTTTATACAACAATTTTCACTACATAAAATTATAATGCAGGAATTCTACTATCTACTGTTATGATATAATTTTGTTGATATAAATTTTGTTTCCTATAATACATCCCTTATTGCTATTCTGAACAAATGTCCTAGTACTGTCTTTTTCAAAACATAATGTCCTCCAGCTCATCACAATCATTTCACAGAAAATTTAATAAATCATGTAATGACATCATTACCCATCAACTTTATGATTAAGTCTATAAAAATCAAATATTAACGACTAAGGACAATTCATTTATATTTAGATATATCACTATTAACTGCAATAATAAACAATGCTGCTCATAATATTATAGAAATAAAGATGGAAAACAGTAATTCAGTTGTAAAGAGGGTATGTATAAACCTACAAGAATTCTAAGAACCACAGATGAGAATGCAGAACACAATTTGTGGGTATCTCTTGGCAGTGTCCTTTGTTTTCTCAGGCACATACTGATTAATCTACATTGAGCAACAAATCTGTGGGTGAATGTTACCACTAAGATGTAATTAACAATAAAGAACAAACAAAAAAACTTAATAGCATTCAACAATGAACTATGACACCATGAAATCTTTCCTTCAAATTTATTAACATATGGTGACAAATATATCTGGTTTGGACAACTAATGTCACTTTTTCTGGAACGATGGAGAAAAAATTAAATATGAAATATTCAACTGCTTGATCATTCAGGCATTATTCTTTTTGTAGCATTACTCCAAATAGCTAAGAATTTTCACAACATTCAGTATAGTACCTTATCAGCTCAAAAAGTACAGTATGATGCATTTGTTGGCAGTGGTTTAAAAGAAATCAATTAACTTTGCATTATAAAGCACAGGGGATATGTGCATTCCTTAATACCACCACATGAAAATATAACATACATACACTTCTGGAAATTCTTCTCTAAATGAATCATTCACATCACTGTATAAAACATTGTCATTCTTTTACATTCACACACTTCATACATCACTTGCTGTCTTATTCACGTTGCACTGGAATACACTAGCCAGATATTTACAATAGAGCATTTCAGAAATTTATTTCAAACTTACCTCCCAAGTGGTCTTTTTCTACAGCAGGTTTTATTGCAAATATTTATTAAAAGCCTTGGTGTCTGTTTCACTCAGATCACATTTATCAAATATCTTGGATTAATAAATAAGGCACTTGTGCTTACATGACTACTTGTTAGGTCTTTGGGAAGTCCATAAAAATGCTAGTAGCTGACTTGTCATATACAAGGTTTTATATCCTTGCATGGATGAATTTAATCTCTGACTCTCAGCCCCCAAACAGACGTCCTGCGTATACCCACTGTAGGCCGAGCCACAGAGGAGAATAGATATTTGTTAATTTGTATGTGAGGCAGGCTTTGTCGCAGGGTACTGAGCGCACTCTCATTCAGTATGCCGTACAGATCCAAGTAGAGCAGATGTGGCATGGACTTCAGCTCCCTGAAAATAATAAAACCAGAAAGTTAATAACACTAAACAATAATGAAATCCTTTTTTGCCTACAAAAAAGATAGGATGGATAGGAGATTCAACATTCTATTTATAGCATAATGACCAGGGAAAGGTTTCCTCAAAATTTCCTAAATACAATAGATTCTAAAATGAACACAAACACAATGATGGCATCTAAATAACATCTACAAATAAGGCTTTCAATAATTATGTCTGGAGTTAGTTAACGTCAACTGCTTTACTTAAAATATAATCTTATACAAAATATCATTCAAAATTTCTTAAAACTTCAACCTAACATTATTTCTTATTGGTTACTGAACTGATCAAAATTTGTATCTTGTATATCACAATCAGCTATTGCTGAAATTAAACAATTAGACATGTTATATCCCTGACAAATACATTATCTACATAAACTTTGAGGAAACCTGATGTATTTAATCAACACATACTAACAATAGGAAGTTACATGCTTGATTATATTTCATAGATTGTAATATATCATGAAGGATTTATTCAACTTGATAATTATATTTGCCTGCCTTAGAGATGAGGAGTAATTTTCCTTGCAGTTGAGCCTTCTTAAAAGTGATTAAGTTTACCTAATTTGGCCTATATTCTCACAGTTGAAAGACAAATTGAACAGTTCATTATATAACAACTTACAGGTAAGCATCTGGCTGTATGGTGTAGCAGCGTGAGAAGGCTAAGTATTCTGTATGGCGCAGTTCACTAATTATTGTAGATACAGAAGCAGCAGTAAGCTGAGTGCAATCACTCACATCTAATTCTACCAAGCCAGGTGACTGTTCAGCCAACAATCTTACATCTGCAATCCAAAACAAGATTATTGCAATGAAGGTCCTCTTCTAGCACATGTGAGATACAATGACCACATGAATTTTCCTATATTCATATTTCTTAATACAAAATACAAAAGATACCAACTAGTACAAAAAAGGACTTTACTTTTATTAATCATGGTCAACTTCACTCAAATAGGTAAAATGTGCATTTAGCAACATAATATTTAAAAATACTTACGTGTATCAGACAATGTGTTTCTGCAACCGGAAATATTCAACCGCTCGAGTGATTTAGGAAAGCGACGGCATATTACCCGAAGATCCTCTGTAGTCAATCCAGTCCAAGCTAGATTCAAACTTACCAATCTGGAAAAAAATATTTACTTTTAAAACAAAGACTTACAAAGGGAAAAAATAGTCATGAAAACAAGAATTTTCTCATTATATTTCATATATAATGTACAAACTAATAAAAACCTACTTTTTACAGTTTGTGAGTATATAAAGAATACTGGAGTGGTTCAAGCCATAGCACATGGCCATATTAAGCGTATCTAAGTTAGGGTTGTTAGCAATGTGTGAGCAAATTGTCTGGTTGATAGTGCAATGCTCAAGACTCAATTTCTTCAGGTCAAAACACACACTCAGCAACTCCTCAAGTGCTGAAAGATAAAACCAATAAAGAACATTAAGGTATTTATGTCTTACAATCATACCTCAAGCTTCCATCTTGTTTTGATTTTTCTAAGTGACAATCGCAAAAACACTCAAAATGTATTCAAGATATATAGAAATATAAACATAATTCTAAAAAGGCTGATCAAGCTTTACATCCACCTACTCTTACTCACCTGGGGGTTCTATTGCAGCCATACTAAGATCTAAGTACTGTAGCTTACTCCTAATTGGAGGTAGACTTGGAAGATATTGAAGCTGTGGCGAAAAAATTGGACCATCCACCTACATAAAAGGAAAAAAATACATAATTTTAGTTAACTCGCATAAATCAATTACAAAAATAATGTATAATTGATGTTCAAATCAAAAAAATTACACGTTAACAAGTTTGCTTACCTCTGCTTTTGCTAGTCTAAGTATACATGATCCTCTGAGAATGACTCTGCCAACTACCCCAGGATTGAGGGTCTTTCCACCAAGATCAAGTCTTCGCCACAGAGATTCATCAAATGCAAGCCTTTTCCAACGGCGGCAAACCTGTGCACATCTTGCTAACATAAACTTTGGGAGCCATCGAAACACTGCTAATATTAATTCATCTGACATGCGGTTGAATTTATCTGTAAAGATAAAGAAGTGACATCAGCATATGAGAGCAATAGGGTACAAAATTAATACATGCTTAAGAGAAAGGGTATGATTAGTAACTAAGAATCTTATAGGTTATACATAGTGGCTTATCAAAATAATCATACTGGTAATGTTCTATCCAATTTCACTTGAAACTTGTGACATATATGCAGTATCCACACTTTTGTAGGCAATGGGTAAAAACTTTCTACCATGTAAATTCCAAGCCTGGACTGATTCCTTATTTGATGATAAATCACTGAGAGGTGAACAAGTTTTATCCTGCCAGTGTGTGTGAGGAAGTTTCTTGGTCTACTATAGCCCTGTAGTCATGCAGGGCAAATATGGAAATACTGGTGTTTGTAACATTTACTAATAGTATGAAACATGAAAAAAATTAAGTCCAAGTATATATTCAATGAACTATATAGCTTCACTTACCATCGCCTGAAATGGCATCTAATCTTCTCCGTTTATAAACAAAAAATTCTTCTTCATTAACTAAGTCATCAGGAAGAAAGGAACCATGACCGACTACATTCTGATTTGACTGTTGCAATACCTGTGAAAAAAGGTTATATATGAAAATATTATCATATATAAAATATACAATTCTAATCATAAAAATGCTAAATGATATACAACAAAGGATAAAGTTTAAATCTGCACTTATCTGAAACAGTCCTCCTTACCTTTGGTGCTGGGGGAGGGTTACTTGTGTTGACTTCAGTGGCTGGTGGAGTAGGTGTAGGTCCTGTCATCTCCTCCTCATCCTGCAGAATAGACAGACCCATGTCTGCCAGGAGTGGAGGATCTGTACCAACATCTCCACCTAAACTCCATTTGCTACACTTCATACTACTGTTGCTGTTTTCTTTATCATAACTTCGTTTTCTGAAAAAAATGAAAAGTATATCATTACTGATCTTAAAATGAGAACATTTTTTTTCAATTTCTAATCACCCTTGCCTAAAATGCCCTGTAATAACCAGTTTCTTATTAAACTCCTCTACATTACAAATAGTAATGTTACTTCTCTGATAACTAGTAAATCAGCTGAGTTTTCAGGCTTCATTTGATTCCATTTGATGCTCTGCAGTTTTCTATTCATAAGCAAAAATATGGCATACATACATTACAAAAATGTTTTATATATTCTTTACTCTGCTACCTTTGTAATTCAACCTCAGAGTCTTTGTTTCAAGGTATAAAATGGTATACATGGTAAGTTTATAAAACCACATCAGAATGATATTTCAAAATCTAGACAAGAGTAATATGGAAGCAGTGGATAAGCAAATTACTAATACAATAAAACTGAGACACTAGTGAAAGTGGATAAGAAAAGACTTCTGCATAAAAAAATATATGTACCTCAGTACTCCACAAGGACTAACCTGCCCTGGTTAATAATGTGTATGGCAATGTGCAGTCACATAACATGCATACCTTTCATTATATCCAAGTACTATACAGACGCAATAAAAATGCATTCCCTTGCAGTAACAGCATAATAACAGTATAGTGCAGTCTGATATTCAAAGAGGCAAAAGCCAAAAGGACTGATGAAATTGCTATTCGAGCGGGAGTTCAGCATCAGCCCATTTTTACAACGCCATCACTTATAATGCAATGCTGCTTCAAAAATATATTCCTCCATTACATAATACTCATTCATTATTATGATCAGGTTGCAATATCTAATTGTAAAGGTAGGTTCGCAAAAGTTACTTGATAATATGCACATAACATCCTCGGAATTTGCCGCCCATTTCGTATATACTGAAATACCACTATTCTGTACAGTAACCTTACAACATACTGCATAGTTACTACATGAAAGCATATATCTTTGACGATATCTCGTGTTTGGGAATATTCTCAAAACTCCGATAAATAAATCGAGTGCACGAGAGTAAACCAAAAATTTTGCGCCAAATGGATCTTAACTTTTGAATCGCACCCAGATCATTTCACTCCCATTTTCTCCCTTAACTTCCGAAAAAGAATGTTTCTTTTCCACATAAACCGACCAGTCGAATATTCCTACGTACCCTGACATAACACCTATGTCCATTATCCAAGTCCGGGAACGCCACGAGCTAAAAAACAGAAAATGTCTTCTTCTTCGACCAACTTCGGCGCCGAGTTTGTTGACATCCATCAGCTGGGCGGCGGGAGGATCCGAGCCTCGTTGTTCGCTTATTTTACCACATATATCCTCGTGGAATATCTCTTTTGCACACACCAATAGGTCGTGCTGCATTTAATTACAATCGTGCGTAACTTTTTTAGGCTGTCGAATTAAAACTCACCTTTTTTGCTGAGAAAATTCATTCCCGGGACGTGAGATTTCTGCTTTCATCTTTGGCGCTGTCTCTTCTGGTGTTTATGGAGGCGACCAATCAGGGCGAAGGTGACAAGTGGCGGCGACCAATCAGGACGAGGATGACAAGTAGCGGCGACCAATCAGGGCGAAGATGACTAAGTGGCGGCGACCAATCAGTGGCTCGCTGACAAGCAGGACCGACCAATCGTGGCCCAGCCGATCTACGCGGGAATTTTAATTTTTAAATCTTATTGAGGTCTTCTTTGTAAAAATCAATTCATCATCCAATCTACGGGAAAATATATATATAAAGTTTTCACTGTTTCATTATTCACTCACAAGATGATTCTTTTTCTTTCATAAATCATTTCTGTCTTTGAATCATCACACTTTTTTCCCCTCTCTGTGTGTCTCAAGGCCGCGTGTTCCAACTGCGATATATCAATTCGTTAGCCCGGGGTTTGATTTAAATCACCAATGACACGTGAGCATAACTCGCGCCATTCGTCTATGAGAGAACGAATGATTATACTTTCACGTGCAACCAATGTCTGCCGAGGAAACTTCTGCTGCCCTCGTCCCTAAATGCCACTTATTTCACCTCACTCAAAAGATTCAGAGCGATTTAAAACAAGGAACACCATCCATTAAAATAGGTTCTATCTTACTTTCCATTATTAGTAAACATATACAAACAAATAATTTCGTTTGTTAAAAATAAGACACGACAACAGGTAGAAAATTCAAAATTTCTGACCAATGCATCTTAAAAAGTTAAAAAGCAAAATCCTTGTGGCAACACCTGCTTTGTAACTGACCGCGAAGAGGGAAAATGTTTGGGGGCCGTGGGACTACATTACCGCTTTTATCTATGCTTATTTTCGTTAAATATTATGTCAAGCGATTTCCTATACAAAAGAGAGCAACGAGTGTTATACAATGAACGTTTTTTTCTTTCGTTTTGGTTGATGGCGGAAATATATTTCATCTATAGGGTTTAAGAGCGTTTATTCAGTACTTTTAAAGTAGTATCATCACAATTCTTTTAGATACGGTTGATAGGTTGATATCAATTGAAAATTATACAGAATACCAGTAAAAAATTACATAAGATAAATCATCTTTCATTACCAAAGTAATTAATAGGACTTTTTTATTGGACACGATGTTTGTTTCCCAGCCGGCATGTTTTCCACCTATTCCACATTTCTTTAAATACCGTCGACCTATTTTTTCATTTATTTTCGAAGTCTGCCGACTGAGAACAGGTAGCTATGGAGAGACGCAAGATTAACAAGAATTCTTCGTTATCAAAAAATGTTTTGACATACAGACTGACGAGTTGCTCCCTCAGGTCAGATTC